TTTATTGGTAACATTCTCGTACTTATAGTCACATACAGAATCCTTCGGCACAAGCGAAACATACCCAATGTACTGATACTATTTTTAGCGTGGGTAGACTTACTGGTGTTTCCTCTAGCATACCCCCAGGCGCTTGTAAAATATTTCTTCGGCATCTACATAGGAGACTACATGGGCTGTGATTTTCACGCTACAACCATAACATTTCTTTTCATGTCATCTATTTTACTAGTTGTTTTAATGAGCGCGGATAGGCTTCTAGCTCTCTATAAACCATTTTACTACGACAAGCACATGATTTACGACAAGGAGAAAATCAAGGTAGCTTCGATTGGTTTCGGATGCTCTCTGTTGACTATAAGTTTACTTCCAGCTTTCGGAGTAAGCCGTAACGTACTGCATTTTCCGGGGACATTTTGTCTGTTTGAATGGGGCGCCGTTTCCTTTGAAGGACAAACACTGGTCTATATCTACATGTCGACGCTAGCTGCGGCGATGCTCTTTATAGTATTTTGTAACTTAGCTACAGTTATAATGGCGATGAAACTTTTTCAAAGAGGGCCAAGCAATGCTGCTTCTCGGGTAGACGAGGAGTCATCGAAGGTGACACATATACAACAGAACCGCAGCTCAAGAAAGATGGAGCTTCAGTTTGCTAAGTTAAGCGGAGCTGTTGCTATATCCTTCGTTGGTTGCTGGGGATTGTTTCTGGTGAGTCAAGCTTTGATGACATTGTTGTTTTATAACTCTTCCGCAATAACGCGCCACCGAACCTCTGCGGAGGAGGGAGGTTTTTATTACCTGCGTTGTTTCAAATTAAATTGATGTAAAACAATCAGAGTACAATATTTATCATTCAGTTTGGTCAACTTAGTGAAAATTGCTTCGTTGTGCGACCCTCTTATTTTGTATTACGTCCTATTCTAATCAGACTTTCAAATAGCGCCTTAATCTCAAGTTAGCTGACGCATTTCCGCCCCAGTTTCGCGATTTGTGTTTCTCGACGTGTAACCAAAGCTGGGCGACGAAGTTGGCTGGTAATCAAGCCAAAAAATTGAAGGGCCAAAATAGGTCATTATTTTCGTATTAGCTTTTATTTGGCCTCTTTTTTCAGAGCGAGACTGGATGCTTTCATATGAAAATAACTTTTCATTCACACCATGACGTCATAATTACCGAGTGCCAAAACTCTCACTTTCAAAACGAGGCAAAGTGCAAACCTTTCTTATAAAAATGAGTTTACATTAATACTAGAAATCATTTTTATATAAATGGCTTCTCTCTCAGTCTCGCTTTGAAACAGAGTCTTAAGGTAAATGGCCACGTTGTCGTGTGGATTGTTGTGCTCCAGGCCTCGTTTTAATAAAGAGACTTTGAGCAACTTGCTTTCTTGACAGACACGTCAATAATCAAACCAGTTTCTATCTTTTAGCTAAGAGTGACGCTTATTCAAATTGGCTACCCGTTCGATGAATTCTTCGACTTTACTGCAGTTCGCCTGGCGTCACTTCACACAGTTTTCAACCCATGGCTCTATCCATTGACTCGAAGAAAATACCGCGATGCATTTTGCTACCTGATCACGTTGTTTGCGTATTATGTCACGTGTACACTTGTGAGTAGGCCCAACGCGACTTTAGGTAAGTACCATGCAAAGTCAGTGGTCAATATATTATATTGTTGTTTGTATAGGTAATAGCATGATTTGTAGTGATATTTGGCATAAATACCACGAGTGATATTTCGAAATTGTTATACGTAATTTCACTAGCCGTTAGGCGAGTGAAATTTGAGACAATTTTGAAATATCACTCGTGGTATTTATGCCAAATATCACTACAAATCATGCTATTATTTGTTTATACTACTACCCGCAAAAGGTTTGTAATTTTTACATGTAGGTATTTCAAATTAAGCTGAAATACTACTGCTCTAAGCCGATCAAATTGCAGTAATTTTCCATGTAGTAGTATAAGCTGGAAATTTGTTCCCAACAGCGCTCTCTCTCATTAGTTACTTCGAGGTCTCATGGCATCCAACAATGAAACTGTTTCCTGCCAAAATCTCTGAGCGTGCAACACAAACCTGTGACGTCAGAGGGTAACAGTACACCGTGTT